ATTCCTCCAGAGCCCGGGTGAGCGGACGTGGATGTTGAGACCCTGGCCTGGTTCCGGGCTCGAGGTGGGGACAGTGCGGTTCTGATTGTCGAGGGTTGAGCTACCTCTGAAGGAAAGAGTCATCGGTGACACCATATTCTTTAGGTTTGGATAGGTAATTTAAACACACAGAGAAACGGGACTCATCTGCTTTTCGTTTAGTAAAAGTGAAAGGTGACTGTTTTAATCCTTGAATAGCAGCTTGTTAGAAAACAATATTAAGAAGGAACGGTTCATTTTGTTTCTTAAAGAACCCGAACATTAGAAGGATTCAAGAAGCGTAGGGATTTGATACGTGATGCGTATGAAGAATGGTGAACACGTTTCAGGGAGATGTTACCTTTGGAACTTCTCTTTTTCCCTAAAGCAGGTGGTTCTTAGAAGCTTGAACTTTCCTAAATGTACATCGTGTCTGGGGCACCGCTGAGTTAGGTAAAAGGAGGCATTGACACACGTCGCGAGTGTCTCAGGAGGGGTCGGTCGTCTACGTGTGACATCTGAACGCTTGCGTGTCCCTTCTGTCTTGACCCTGACGTTTCTCTCCGAGCCTCAGAAGTGAAATGAACATTTCTGGGCCTGGTTGTTAGCTTCTCTTTCCTGAGAGCTGCGTCTCCAAGTCAAGTGAGAGAAAAACACACCACTTCTCAGAAAAACCCAGCGTGAGTGCTCCCCCCCCGCCCCCCGTTGGCGGAAGGACTGCATCACCCCGATTCCGCACGGGGTGGCACGTCGCTCGCTTGTACCTGTTTGCCATGTGTGCTCAGGTCATTTCCTCCCTTCCTGCGTAGTCACGTAGTGCTGAGAGGAACAGGGGAGAACCGTGAACCCCACATGCTGGAACCGGGGTACAGGCCCCAGGAGGGCAGTGTGTCGCTGTACGGAAGGAGTGGCGGCCTCACAGACCTTTCAGCCTATGTCACTGACGAAATTCTTTCTGCACTTGCATTGTGTTTTCGTTCTACTAAAACACTTGACTGTATCTCAAAAATATCTGCAGACCGAAAAATGTGACAAAATGTGACGTCAGTTTTTTAAAAAATTGATGGTAGAGAGGAAGGGAGAGAGAGAAACATCGATGAGAGAGAACATCGACTAGCCGCCTCCTGCACGCCCCCCACTGGGGATCGGGCCCACAACCTGGGCATGTGCCCTGACCGGGAATCGAACTGAGACCTCTCGGTGCAGGGTCGACGCTCAACCACGGAGCCACACCGACCGGGCACGATGCCAGTTTTGAAGTGAATGTGAGCCATGGGTGACTGAGGATTACTGACTTTCTTAGACTAAAACGAGAAGACAGTTCTCGCTTTGTCAGTATCACATAATAGGGCTGTGTGATTATAGCCATCAACCGAGGTCACGCACTCTCTCAGTGACAGTAAGATGTGCGTATAAGCTTTAGGGTGTCACGGGGCGATGCATGCTTATCTCCCACGAAACCCGGAAGCTTGGAGGTGGTGGCAGGAAATAGTGTTTCCCAGACCAGTGTCGCCCAGGAGACGCCGCTGTTGTTACGGAGGAAAACGGCTAAAAGCTGATAGCACCGCAAAGGCAGTGAGAGCTGGTGGCGACTTACCCCATCCAGATGCCAGACACACAGCCAGTCCTCAGCATTTCGTACTGGCCTCACCTCCTCACATCTACAACTGGCTTTAAAAGTCAGTGGCATTTTTGCCCGGTCCGCGGTGCCTTCAGAAACTCCCCTGCCCGCCCTCTGGCCTCTGAAAACAGGAGCCCGTCAGGTCTCCGACAGGCTCGGTCCGCCCCGCGTCGTCGGCAGACTCTTCTCGCAGGCGTAGAGGCTGAAATCATGTAGCAACACGCCGAGGAAAGATGTTCCCTGTTCCCTGCCCGGCGTGTTTGTCTCCCGTCGCCGCCGGAAATGAGCCGATGCTCATGTGGTAGGACGCTGTCCAGCAGGAGTGTCGTCGGAACCACAGACGCAGCCGAAAATGTCCTCGTCCACGGGAACGGGCGAAATTCACGTGAGCAGTGTGTCTGATTGAACCTGAGCTATTTCAGAGGTTCTTGTTTCTTCCCGTCAGCAAAATGAACTTCCCAGGAGGTAGTCGGCCTGTCTGGTACCGAGTCTTTCAAATCCACTGTACTTTTTTTTTTTTTTTTTGGTCTTTATTGATTTTAGAGAAAGAAGGGAGAGGGAGAGAGAGGTAGAAACATCGATGAGAGAACATCGGTGGGCCGCCTCCTGCACGCCCCCCACTGGGGATCGGTGCCCTGGCCTCTTGGTGCGGGGCCGACGCTCAACCACGGAGCCACACCGGCTGGGCACAGTGTACATTTTACACTGGCAGCGGGTCTCAGTGTGGAACAGTCACATCTCGTGGGCTGGTGTCTCGTGGCTACCGTATGGAGCGCAGGGTTCGAGAACTAGTATTTCCTAATTTCTACGGACCGGTGGCTGGCGGACTGGTTTGGTCGGAAGGGCTGGTGGGATGAATCTCCTGGTCACGCTGAGCTGCAGGCAGGCCCCGAGGACTCGGGGTGCTGGAGAGTCAGGGTGGTGCCGGCTGCCTGCAGTCTCTGTGAGCCTGTGGGCTGTGATTTCCTCAGAACACGCGATTTGTGGAGAACCGAACCGTTCCCTTCATGTTCTCGAGAAAAACACCCTTGGAGGAATTTTCTTTAGCAAAGGGACAAGGCGTGACATTTTAAAAATATATATTTTCTAAAGTAAAATTTTAACATAACCAATCCTGCCCTGGTCGGTTTGGCTCAGCAGTTGGAGCGTCGGCCTGCGGACCAGGAGTCCCCGGTTTGGTTCCTGCCAAGGGCATGGACCTCGGTTGCAGTTTGTCCCCGCCCCGGTTGGGGTCATGTGGGTGGCAGCCACTCGATGTGTCTCTCTCATGTCAGTGTGTCTCTGTCTCTCTTCCTCCCTCTCTCCCTGCCGCTCTCTCTGAAAACAAATGCAAAAATGTCCTTGGGTGAGAATAAAAATAAATAGATAAATAAAAAGAGCCCAATCCTGTGGTTTTTATAATACTTGGAAAGACCAGAGTCTCACTCCTGCCGTTAGAAGCCGTTTTGGGAGATAAGGGTTAAATACACAGATGCTAGTCATTCCCATCGGCTTGGTTTAAAAGACATTTGAAGTGTCATAAAAAATAACATTATCACAGACTTCGGAATAGAGGACGTTAAGTCTGAAAATTTATTTTGCACCGTTCAGCTGTGTTTATTGTTTGAATGGGTAGGTCACTTAAAAACGTGGCCTTTTTGAGGTTGGGTTTTAACAGTCAGAACTTCCTATTGTATATGAGTTCCGGCGCATGCACTTTGTGGGCTACATGGAGGAAGCTCCTGCCTTTCAGCTGAATCTACGGAGCCCAGGTAGAAACGGAAGAGGCCACAGCTACTGGGAGAAGACCTGTATGGCAGAGGCCTTTGTGCACAGATGATGGATATCATAACCCAATAGTTTTCTCAAAACTATGCTTCTAATTGGACCCAATGGGGGTCTCTTCCTTTGATCAGATCAGAGGAACTATGACTTTACCCTGGAAAATGTCACTCCTGTGAAGGTTTGTCACCTGTTGAGCCGGTCTTTCCTAGGGTGCTGCGTTCATCCCTCATTAGCATTATTCAAAGTTGAATTGTTAATCAGGTTGACACTTCAATCACAATCATCATTGGGGAGGGTAGTCAGGACCGCTCCTGTAAGGAAATGAAAATATTCCTTCTTTGCATGTGTGTGTGTGTGTGTGTGTGTGTGTGTTTATAAAATGACATTATTTTGTTGTTGGGCAGTCTCCTAAGGATAAGAGCGTGCTCCGTGAGGGAAGCAATCCAATCCGGTCAGAATTTGTCTCCTGTTTCTTTCCTTAAAACAGAAATGTTACATGACTCGCTGTCCCCATGTAAATTTAGCATCACCGTATTCCAAGTGTGCGGAGTGTTTTTCTATTACGTGCGAAAGGAATGAATGGGTTCACGTCACCTCACCTCGCCCTCAAGAAATAAGAGTGTGTATCAGTAGTGTGATCACACAGTGTGACCATCTCCGTGAGGGCCGGTCTTCAATAGTACGCCTTCCTTAAAACACACGGCGCTTGAACTTGAAGGACGGAAATGTAGGAACAATGACAACAAATGTGGGTGCCTTTTACAATTATGCCAATCCCTAGATAATAGAAACTGGCATAATTGAAGCACATGAATGCTTGAATCTGGTGAGTCGGTCAGAGGCGGTAACACTGAACTCAAACTACACGTGGTGGTGGGAAGAACTGGGTGGAACCGGGTTTGAATCTGCTTTGCCCTCGACCAGCATCCAGTGAGCACACCACAGCTGCGAGTCCCCTTTCATCATGCATCCAGGGCCACAGAAACTCGTTTCTGAGGAGACCAGAAGGTTAAAGGAGACAGCGCAACATGTGCGTGACGTCCAATTCTCTACGCACGGCAGGCTCTCCGTCACCTTACCCTCCTGCCCCATTTTATCTAATGATGCTCAACACCATTCCGCAAACGCCTGGAAACTTCCAGGTGCAAGTGAGGCTTCCGAACACACACCGCAGTGGGAAGTGACCCTGGAGGACCCGCGGTAAACAGCCAGACAGAGCGGACACCGCGATACCCACCCCGTTTCGTCTCTAAGACCAGTCGACACATGTTGTAATTGCTAAAAATCTGCAGAAAAGTGGCTCGCAAGCAGTTTACCGTAAAATAATTAAAGCTTATTTATGTCAAGAGGCCTTGGGAAAAAAAAGAAAAAGGAAAAGAGAGCATAAAGCAATTTGCATTAGCTTGTGCCTGAGTCCCTGCCTTCCTTTCAATTAGCGGACCAGCAGGTGCTCCGGCGGGTAAAGGGGGAAGCTGCCAGGGAGGAGGCTGAGTTTGGGGCTGACCTGCAGACACCGCGGCGTGCCTGCTGATTGGGTTCGGACCTCGCTGGACCAATTTCCGAGGTGTTAATTTAACTGTTCCTCTCTGTCCTGCAGGTCTCGGCCCTAAAAAACAAACTGAAGAAACAGTCCACCGCCACGGGGGATGGAGTGGCCAGGGCCTTTCTCCGGGCTCAGGCTGCTTTGTTCGGATCCTACCGGGACGCCCTGCGGTACAAACCTGTGAGCCTGCCTTCCGTCGAGATTTTAATGTGCTTTTTAATAGTTCTTTGGGATGGGGGGAAAAACCCAACATTCTAACACCACACCTTAAAAAGGTATCACAAAGGTCTTTGAAAATCCCAAATAGCATGCTGTAAAACATGTTCTGTGTCCAGTTTCTTGACTTTTTGGTTTTAGTTCTTTTAGTCCCTTGAGCTAATATTGCCCACATTCTTTTTTTTTTTTTTTTTTATCCTCACCCAAGGACATTTTTCCATTTTTTGTTCAGATAGAGTGGGAGGGAGACAGAGGAAGAGAGAGAGAGAAACATCGACGTGAAAGGGACACATCGAGTGGCTGCCACCCGCACGACCAACCAGGGCCGGGGACAAACTGCAACCGAGGTACGTGCCCTTAGCGGGAACCGAACCCGGGTCTCTCTGGACCACAGGCCGATGCTCCAACCGCCGAGCCAAACTGGCCAGGGCTGCCCACATTCTTTTGCATATCGATACCTTATTTCTCTTTCTACAATTGAGATATTTACCTCTGAACTAATAAATGGTGTCAGGGCATTTTTTTTTTTTTTTAAACCACCTGATCTTGTTAAAATCATTAAGAAACTAACCAGACAACGGGGTTTATTGCACTGAGTTCAGAAATAACAAGTGCAAAATGAAAGTCGAGAAATATGCGGACTTGAAAATTTCACAATATTTGGAGATTTAATGTCACCCCAATTCATAACGTTTTTTTTTAGTGAGCTCATCTATTTAGCAGATCCTAGCTCACCTCACCATTTCTTTTCTGTCTTAATACCCTAAAATGATTATCATGTAGAATTGTAGCCAGGGTTTTAGATTGTTCAAAGAGATGTGCATCAAAATATATTTGTTTCTCTGTCTGAATTACGGGTAAAGTATGTTGGTCTGATTTTCTGAGTGGCTCTTCCCTGACCAGACACATAAGTTGTACTGAATGAAAAACACTGAGTTAGTAGTCAGACCTGCTGAAAATTCCACCCTTGTCAGGCTGTGTGACGCCACACACTTCCTTCATCTCTGTCCTCTTATTTGTCAAATGAGAGTTTTTACAGCATCTACCTTGCAGGATTGGTGTGTAAACCTCACCGTAAACTACGTAACACTCTGACGCAATGGTATAGTTGACAAATACCTGCGGTTAATTACAGAGAACAATATAACTAATTAAAGTTGTTGGAAAGGGATTTGAATAATGGACAGTTTGTGTTGGGGGGTGAGGGTGGAGAGCTTTAGCCTGTATCAAAGTTAACTACTTTTTAAGACTTAAACAATGTGGGATCAAACTAATGTGGTAGATGAACTGAAGAAAAGCGATGAAGGTATTGATTCTTCCCCCAGACTGGGTTTGGTTCAAATTCTCACTCTGTGACTAACTGGTTGTATGGAACCTCAGTGTTTTTTAGTTTTCTCATGTGTAAAATAATAATAATAGTAATATTTCTTGGGTTGTTTAGAGGGTATATGTAAGTGACTTAGAATAGTGCCTGACATATAGCTGGTGGTCTCTATATTAGGTATTGTTATGAAAAAAAGGCGTTTTAGAAGTAGAACATTTGGTCAGGAAATCCCTTTAATGTAACTAAATACAGTACCCTTTTCTGATCTGAAAGAAATACATTGTTACAAACAGCAGATTACTTTGACTTGTTGGGTTTTTTTTTTTTTTGATATGCATGTTATTGTGAATATTCATAATTCAATCTAATGATATTCAGTCTTTGAGGGGATTTATTTATTTATTTATTTATTTTTAATCCTCACCCGAGGATATTTTTCCATTTTTTTGTACAGATAGAGTGGGAGGGAGAGAGAGGAAGGGAGAGAGAGAGAGAAACATCGATGTGAAGGGACACATCGAGTGGCTGCCATCCGCACGACCAACCAGGGCCGGGGACAAACTGCAACCGAAGTACATGCCCTTAGCGGGAACCGAACCCGGGTCTCTCTGGACCGCAGGCCGAAGCTCTAACCACTGAGCCAAACTGGCCAGGGCGAGGGGATTTATTTTTGAAGGAGTGAAATTGAGCAATTTCAAGAGGCTAAGAGATCTTCGGTTAGAAAGCTATGCGAGAGGCTTGGAGGAGGAGGAGGGTTCCGCCAGCCTCCAAGCCAGATATTATGTGGGGGTCTGTGTGACTCCGTGTAGACTGCAGCACCTCGAAGTTGATTCTGTGTCACAGCTGCTCTGTGACTCCTCGTGACACGTGTGGGAGGCTGGTTCTTCTGGACTTTCTCTTGACGCCTGGCGTTCTTCCTCTGCGCTAGGGTGAGCCCATCACCTTCTGCGAGGAGAGCTTCGTGCAGCACCGCTCCAGTACAATGAAGCAGTTCCTGGAAGCCGCGGTGAACCTCCAGCTGTTCAAGCAGGTAAGAGGGGCCGACACGCTCCCCCCGTAACGGAAGACGACGAGAACGGAACAGAAATGTATCCAAGCCATGAGTAACAACTTGGATAGAATTTCAAGACGTGTTTCTTTGTTTTGTAACTCTAGAGCCAGGGTATGGAACTCCAAAAGTATTATGTAATAATAATAATAATTTTGCTATTACGAAGTTCCTCATCGAAAGTGCTCAGCTGATGGTCTCCCCGAGGAAGAGTGTTCATACACAGTAGAAAAGGTGACCTCACTAGTTTTACGTAAGGCATCTGAGACTAAGGAGTTACCTTGGTATGGTAGATCGATACGGTAAACAAACTGTATATACACACACACATATATATATATAAAAATCTTCAGCCGAGGATATTTTTACATTCATCTTCATACAGAGTGGGAGGGGGAGAGAGAGAGAAATAACGACGTGAGAGAGACACATTAATGGGTTGCCTCCTGCGACCCCGACCAGGGCCGGGGATGAATCGTAACCAAGGTACGTGCCCTTGGCTGGAATCAAACCCACGACTCATTGGTCCACGGGCTGAGGCTCTACCACTGAGCCACACCAGCCAGGGCAAACTGTATGTTTTTTTTTGTAGGACAGTCCCAGCGTAACCCAGTTTATAAAAATCATTCATTGATATGTAAGTTGATAAGCTCTGCAAGACTTTTCACCACCAAAAAAATGTATAAAGATTTTAGAAAGGAAGACAGCAAACTGACATTCTTGTTACTCTGAAGATAGAGGTATGTTTCTCAAGGCAGACAGGGACAGCTTCATAGATTTGACTGCACCGAAATAGAGAACTTTGGGTCATTAAAGGCCACCATATTCGCCATATGTACGAACCACCCAAGAATTTAGAATCTAGAATATTGACAAAAAACAAACAAAACAAAATTTCTCTGTGTCAGTAAAAATCATATCCAATATAACTGTGCAAAAGACTTGAATAGATATGCAAGACAGTCAACCTTATTTGTAATTACAGAACATCAAGTAAAAACCACAGTGAGCTACCGCCTCATACGCACCAGATGGGCCCCATTTTAAAAACCTAAAAATCTCGTCCTGGCCGGTTTGGCTCAGCGGTTGGAGCGTCGGCCTGCGGTACAGAGAGACCCGGGTTCGGTTCCCGCTAAGGGCACGTACCTCGGTTGCAGTTTGTCCCCGGCCCTGGTTGGTCATGCGGGTGGCAGCCACTCGATGTGTCCCTTCACATCAATGTTTCTCTCTCTCTCTCTTCCTCTCTCTCCCTCCCACTCTATCTGAACAAAAAATAGAAAAGTGTCCTCGGGTGAGGATAAAAAAAAAACCAAAAAACAAAAACCTAAAAATCTCAACTTTTGGCAAAGGCCTAGAGCAAGGAGCCAGTTGTAGCGGACGGTGGGCGTGTACATTTGCACAGGTTGTTTAGAAAACACTTGGACACGACCACTTAAAGTACAAGTTCTTTATGACCTAGAAATTCACTCTGAGTTGGGCAGCCCAAAATCACTGCCCCAAATCGCTCATAATAGCAAAACCGTGTCCGTCAGTAGAGAAATGAAGACGTTTCTAATTTCACGCGCTAGAACACAGTGCCCCAGAGAAACGAATGAGCGGCAGCAACACCATGAGAACTGAACGCAAGGAACACGTCCCTGGAGGATTCACGAGTCCTTTTAGGTCGTGTTCACCAGCAAGGAAGTGTAAAGGCTGTGTTTAGGGAACCACCTCTGTGCTAAAATTATAGACAAACAAACACAGGACACGCTGAAAGAATTGGAGTCTTTTCTGTGGGGAGAAGGATGCCCTGGGAGAGGCCTTCTCAGGAAGGGGTTGTTCTGGTAGTTTGTGTCAGCATTATGATTTAAATGATTAAGTCGTTAAGATGTAAATTATTCACGCAGTGTATGAACATCCCATTTTTGAATGTTTCCGGCATTGCCAGTAGTGGGCTGTGTTTTCCTTGACAGCTGACTTTTACCCTCTCTGGGCCTCAGTTTCTGCAAGTGTGCCCCCAGTCCACCTGGAAGGTCCCCGAGTTTGAGATCCCCGCCGGCCCTCGCATTCCACGATACTGTGAAATAAACAGAATGTAGACGGATGGTCGTAGGTTCCATTTGGATAAACTCCTCTCTAGATAATGGACTTGGAAGGAATCCCAGAAACAGCCTCTTAAGTCCACCGCCCCGGCAGCTCCATCTTGCTCTGGCCAGCAGCCCAGCAAAGACTTCAGCCCTTCCCCTCGCATCAGCTACCTGAAACCGGCGGCTGGTGTGCAGGTTGCTAACTGGTACTGTACCTGCGTGACTTCCTGCCTTGGATAGATGTGCCCGAGCATGTGACATGTTAGCATTGGGCGGAGGGGGCTGAAGGTCACCCCACTTTCTTCTGTGTAGGCAACATTTCCGTAAATCTGAAATTATTTCAACATAGAAAGCTTAAACCGATTGCCAAAAAAGTACCCATAGAACATTCACATCCAGGCATCTTCCTGTCTTGTTACGAGTGTGTCTCATGCCGTCGGGCCCCCTGCGCCCTGGTTGCTCGGGGGGAGAGGGGGGTTGTGTTTCCAGGTGTAGTGAACAGCAGAAGAATCCTCGCTCCGTTCTTCCTACCACACTTCCTCGGACACTTAGTGTTGGCATGTTGACGACCAATGTTTCTTGTGAGGCTCCTGTTCCTTTTCACCTGTGATGTAACTTTCTGCCCTTTTCCTTGCTGTTTCTCCAGGCAGTATCCCCCCCCCATCCCGGTGTCCTAGGCAGTTAACGCTGATTTTCTCCCTGTCCCCTAAAAGTGGCAGTCCCCTGGGCTCTCTCCTCAGGCCGTTTCTCTGAGTCATACCCTCTGTCTGGCTTCGCTTATGGGAGACCATAGCTACCTACCCGTGATAAATCCCAAAGAGCTCTTTAGCCTAGACCTATGGAAAGGTAAATGTGTGTGCACAGTATATGTCTTTACACGAGTGTCTTCATGTACGTGTGCATACGTCACCCACGTACACGCGTGCGTGTGTACACACACGTATGGACCCGTGTGCATTCCTTCCTTCGGGATCCGGTGCTCCCCTGCTGCCTGACCCAGAGCATTAGGGATTAGCTGGTCCTCCCTGCCCCCGGGGTCCGGCGGTTTACTACGTTCTGTGGATTCTGCATCCCAAATACGACTTCGTTCCGTCCCATTCGGTTCTCTCCAGTTTCAGGGTCAGGGACTTGGGTCAGAGAACAGGCCTTGTGTTCATCCATTCGGTCCCCCTCCGTCCTGCTGTAGAGAGTTCTTTCTGAAGCACAAGCTCTCCGTCTGTCTCACCACGCACAAGACGAAGTCCGAGCCCAGCCCGGCGCACAGAAGCCTTCGTCCTCTGGCTGCTGGCTCTCTGGGTTGTCACTTCTCCGGTGACCCTTGCTCATAGCCTCTCCGGACACTGCTCGTGGCTCCGCAAGAGGCTTCGTGCCTCCCAGCTCGGGTTGTAACAGACGCTCAGTATATTGTCAGCGAGCGAACAGCAGTGACTGTGCACGAATGAAGTAACACTTGTGAAGCGCTGACTCATGCCGGGCGCCGTTTCGATGCTTCATCCCATCTGGTTCAATCTGCACAATAACCGCGTCATCCCACCCTTTAATTTTGGCCACTCGGCAGGTTATAAACCCAAATGATAGGGAGGTTCAGGAGCTCACCGGGAGTTCACACAGTAGCTAGTCTGCGGTAGAGCCAGGATTTGGACAGGAGAGCCATTAAGGTTCCCTGTCCCGGCAGGAAGAAATGAATGAATCCGTGCGTGTTTGCTTGTTCTGTTCTTAGGCCTCCGGTTTGCACTCTGTCTCTGTTTGACTTCGCCCAACGCGGCCGTTCTTCAAGACACAGCTCGTGCATCCCTTTTCCGGGTTCTGTGCTGCCCGATCTTCTTTATTTATATGACTTTTTAAATATCGACGTGAGAGAGACACATCGACTGGTTGCCTCCTGCACGACCCCAACCAGGGCCAGAGGCAAAATGCAACTGAGGTACATGCCCTTGACCAGAATCGAACCAGCGACTCATTGGTCCACGGGCTGACGCTCTAACTGCTGAGCCAAACCCTCCAGGCCGATCTTCTTAAATTTCTATCTTTTATTTATTTATTATTATTATTTTTTAAATCCTCACCCGAGGACATTTTTTGATATTTTGTTCAGATAGAGTGGGAGGGGGAGAGAGAGAGAAAAACATCGACATGAAAGGGACACATCAAGTGGTTGCCACCCACACGACCCAACCAGGGCCGGGGACAAACTGCAGCCGAGGTACGTGCCCTTAGCAGGAACCGAACCCGGGTCTCCTCAGACCGCAGGCCGACGCTCTAACCGCTGAGCCAAACCAGCCAGGGCTTAAATTCCTATCTTTTAGCGCTGTGCATTTACCCTGTGTATATTCATTGGCCCTTTTGGCTTTCTTTTGAGTTGTAGATTCTGTAAAGTGTTTTCGTATCTTAATAACTAATATGTAACAGGCACTTAATATTGTTAAATAAAGAAATCAAATAGAAACTGCTGAGTGACTCCCTGTTGGCAGGAGAAAGCATGAACGTTTTGGCAATGTTGGAAGATAACAAGTTTATAAAATTGAATAGGATGGAACTCATTTGGGGATCATCCAAAAAGTGTAGGAATCAGGTGTAACTGGGTTTGAATCGAGTGGTGGCCGTAACTGTAACCCCGGAGGGTCCAGACAATGGAGCATTGTGCCGAGCGAGCGCTCAGTGGGCCCCGAGCCTTCTGTATTTGGTGCTGTGACCCACTTTCCCTGACTTAACAAGACACAGGATGAAAGGAGCAGGTCAGAAGCCAAGCGTTTCCCTTTGCACGTTAGCTAGAGATCGGGGGAGATTTCAGAGAGCTTTTAACATACACGGTCACTTCTTCTAAATTCTCTGCATTTTCCTTTCCACCTCTGCAGAGCAGAAGCGCGTCGTTGTTCACAGGACGTAATTCATAGCGAAGACCAGCGCGTTCGCAGT